ATAGATGCTTTGGTTATGTTTTATTTAGTTATGGTTTGGTTGTGTTGTTTTTTATTTATTATGGTTTTGTTGTGGTTTTTTTTTTAATTTTAATTATATTTTGTTTGATGTATGGAATATGTTGAATAAAAAGGTCTTTTATTGAATGCTTTGTTTATTAAATAAAAAATCCAATACAAGTCATTAAGAATTACTACTACTAAAATAAAATACATGAAGTACAACAATTTCAATAGAAAACATGAAAAATAAAAATAGATAAAAGGTATGCCAACTAATTTAATGGTTTTGATCATTTAACCAATCCGTGTTGCTAGGCCCATCATCCTGAAAAAGTCTTCTTCTTATAACATCCCTTCGTTCTAGCTTCCAATATTGTTTTGTATCAGGGGACATATGGCTTGTTTTTTATGCTCGTGTTTTGCGTATCGTGTTTTCTTTTTTGCTCAAATACTACTTTTCTCGTGCACACTCGGCTTGAATTGCCACCTCCATATCTTGGCGTTTCTGCTCCATTTCAATTCTTATGGCGTTCTGCCTTGAAATTTTCTCCAAAAACTTTGAATTATTATTGCTTGAATTACCCGCTTTCTTTGCCTTCGCAGCCTTTCGGCCAATGGGCCTGGGCTCATTTTCGATGGATGAGTCTTCACTCATAAGGGAATCGAGAGGTGAATCCAATGTTGTTGAATCACGGAGTGTCGTCTCGTTTAACACAACGGCGGGACCCGTGGGAATAATTATGAAGTGTTTAGAATATTTTACCACCTCCTAACATTCATGATTGGTGAATCTTTTTTTGCCACCTCCGGTTGCACCGAACCACATCTGTGCTTGAATGAGCTATTTAACAAAAAAATGGAAATGCAATAAATATTTAAAATATATTGGATATGCAAGTAACAAAAAAAAAATGGAAATGCAATTAACCTTACAAATAAATTGGAAGTGCAAGAAATATGAAGAAACAATTGGAAATGCAAGAAATATTATGAAACAATTGAAAATGCAAGAAATATTAACAACATATTGAAAATGCAAGAAATATTAACAAAATATTTCAAATGCAATAAATATTAACAACATATTGAAAATGCAAGAAATATTAACAA